AGGATGATCGTCGCTAAGAGTTATAGACTTAATACTCTCGAAGCAATTTTTAACCATTAATTTACAAAAGCGGTTGCATACAGTTGAAAGTTTACTAAACGAGTTTTGTACTAAGCATTACGTCCACATGGTAACCTCGACGGCAGAACAGTGATTAGGAGGGATAGTAAAAAAATCAAAACTTTTGCAATTTGCAAATAATTCTTGAAGACATTTTTCTCAATGCCTTCTTATGTATCAGTTCCCAGCCTTGACAGAGTCCAAAAGCGTTTACGTGGCCTTGCGAATGATACATTTATTTCAACCTTACATCTTCTTTCTCACAAACGAAACGTCTCAAAATATTTCTATTCTATCGATATTTCCATGTCATGTTCTGACGTGCTACATTCTTTATTTCTACCAGACTCGCCACGCCACGTCTACATGATCATTCCTTTTGTAATAAGGTTTCCCTCATACGGACTTTTCCAAGGACCACTACTTAGAAGAGAAGATTCAGGTATGGTTGCTTTCCCCTTTTATCCACTGGGCCATGTGACAAGGTGTTTTTTTTATATATATCCGGTTACTAGACCCAACGAGACTACAGCAGTGGTGAACCAAAACTTGGAGGGTTGAGTTAAAGGGAAATAACTGAGACATCCGGGAGAGGCATGGCACACGGAACTAGAACAATCTACCCCGGTGGACGAACTAAAGAGCTCGGTTGGAAACTCCAATCACCTGAAGAAGGCCGGAGCGTACATCGGCCGAAACGTTGCGAATATGACAATGAAGATGAGGATAACACATTCAGTTCGAAAAATGTAAATGAAATGGAGATCCGCGTAACGAGAGATAATTTCACTTCTTGTGTGACAACAACCGCTGGGTAACCGGAAAATTGTATTAGCTTAAATCTGCGTCCATTTGCATTTTTTTAACTCTTTCTGTTATTGTTGAGATGTTGTGAGTTTCCCGCGTGTCGGTGTATGAATCAAGACAAACACAGTTGTAGAGGAAAATACTAATATATTTGTAAAAGCAATTAACAATAGAGTGATTAGTAGAACGAAGGTTGGTTAGTACGAAACAATATCCAAAGTCTATAGTCCAACGGTATGTAACTGGTAAGCTTATCTGGACTGCTGACGCTCTCGCTCTCTCGTCCTCTCTCTAGAGCTGACTTATATAAGAGGGACCAGTCCATTTCTAGTTAGAAGGTGGGTGCGCCCCAACAGTTATTAAACGGAATATAATTCCTAATAAATGTCTTTTTTTTCTCTTTTTTTTTTCTTTTTTTTTTTTGCATTTTGCTTTAAATGGAGAATGAATTTAGATTTCTTTTTAATTTGATCATCTTCCCGTCAGCAAAACAACGATTACCGGACCAGTTCTTCCTTAAAAAGGGAGTCATGTCGGATGTCAAATTCATGCTGCACAGTGTTAACATCTCTGGGGTTTTTTGGGGTTTTTTTTTTGTTTTTTTTTTTTAGTTTTTTTACCTGAAGACAATTATACATTTGTAATGCTTATCCTGACAACAATAAGCAGCTAAAAAAAAAGCGATAATTTACCCGATGGGTGAAACAGTTTTCAGTCAGAAGAACAACAAGAAGGTGGTGGGGGGGAGATATCCCCCTCGCATATCAAATGCTGTGTCTTTTTTTTTCTTCTTCTTTTATATAATTTTCTTTTATCCTTTTCTTAAAAAGTTACATTCAGCCAAACTTTCCCTTATACACTTAAAAACCGACTGATACAACAGACATCATTTCCTCATACGCTTAGAACCTTTTACAAGTTTTGGTCAACCTTTGGTAAGTAGTATCAGATTTTAAACTAAAAAATAAATAAATTGAATACTGAAAAAAAGATCTATTACTGGAAGTATAATTTACCAAGAAAAAATATAGGAAAAAATAGAAATCATTCTCAATGTCTTATCTTTCGTGCAAAAGAGAAAAGATGCGTGTGAACGCTGGTTATTATTATTATTATTATTATTAGTTTTAGGGGAATTTCGACTTCTTCAGTACGCCGCTTCCATTCAGGATATCGATTTGGTTTAAGTGATAGCGGCTCGGATTGAGGAATCGGAGAGCTGAGTTTGAATTCCACACGAATCCATTACATTCACTTAAGTGCTTAATACCCTTGGGAAAAGCAAGAACCCTATTTTCTTCTCCGCCCCAACAAGCTATGGGTAAATAGCAGAACAGACCGAGTTCTATAGCCTAGGATAGCAACTGGTCTAACGCAGGAAGAAATGGCAACCTACTGCGGGATAAAATCCACCTCGTCAGTCATATATATGATCGCCTAAGCGTGTATCACGCATGACATATAACTGACTGACTATTTTTTTACGGCATATCAACCTCAATAGGTTATTTAATGCCGACAAGATTTTTAGGATAGGTTCGTATGAATAGAATATGTATTCTTTGTAAGAAATCAGTTTGTAAATCAGCTACCATTGACGTATTTTTGTAAAGAGGGTTTTTGTCGAGAGTCAAATGTATCGCTGGTATTTTTTAAGTGTATTGCTGTTAATAATTGTGTTTTATATTTATATATATATATATATATATATATATATATATATATTGCTGGTAATATTATTGCTATAAAAATCTTATTTTTATATTTTCATGACACTAATCTGTGGGTTAATTATTTACCCATAGCTGGGACCCTAACAGGCGCTACCACTCCAGGTCTGGCTGTATCTGGGAAACCACCCAATCAGACGTCTTACTGCCGGATGCAATTTATTGTCATAACCAGGATCGTTGGTGACCATGGCTCTCCACAATGTCCAGTCTTTGCAGCTTTAAATAAATTTTATCTTTTTATTATCTCTCCTAAAAACTTGCTCTACTATTCATGTTAAGGAGTGAATAGTACAAACCCGGTGGCTATATGAACTAGTTCATTACTATAAAGGACTCCAGGTCAGAGGTAAGACCTATAGCCATTCCAAGTCAGGCAATTTGCTGTCAGGCTCGTGACCGGCTTGTCGAACTCTCTGCCGTCGAGCGGAGAGGAACGCAGATAAGGTTATGTCTACGGGTAGAGTCTTGCCTGGAGAGGTAGACAAAGCTGACTCAGTGTATGCGCAGTCTAAGAGGAATTTCATGTGCGTGGTGATGCCTGAGAAAATCAGACAAGTACTGTCTCAAGCCCGCTTTGGATAAACTTTGACCATTAGCCTAAGTGGATATGTTTGAGTTACCCACAATAATACCTAACTGTCGCATCACAGTGTTTGGGGAGGGGGCTTAAATAATTAGTCATTTTCAGTCAAGCTCTTGAGTGACAAGACCTTTGTCTTCAGAGAGAAACACGGATGAGAAAAACAGTCAAGCAACATACACGAGACCGTTTTTGCGGGTGCTGAGTAAATGTTGACCATTAGCCCGAGTGGACAAGCTCGTGTTCTCTACAATAATCCCAAACTTGTGTCACATCTCATCCCAGTTGGGGGAACTCGGTAAATACTTAGTCGTTTCAAGCCGAGTATTTCGGTCAGAGGGTGATTTAGTCGTGCTTCTGTCTTCGGATTTGCCTGCGAAAAACAGACAAGTAAATACCTGGTCGTTTCGAATCAGGCAGTACCTGAGCCCACATTTTATCCATTCGCCCGAGTAGACTCGTTCGGGTTCCCCCACAATAATCCATACTTGTGTCACATCTGATCCCAGTTGGGGGAGACTAGGTAAATACCTAGTCGTTTCGAGCCGCGCAGTTCTTGCAACTGACAAGACCTCTGTCTCCGGGTAGAGGTTGACTCAGCTGGAGCTCTGTCTTTATATAGATACTCGGCTGAGAAGAACAGACAATAATGAAGCAGAAATTTCCACGTGTGGACATTCCCGGTTTCCCCACAGTATTTCCGACATTGTGTCACATCTTATCCCAGTGGGGGGTCTGAATTAATACCTAGTCGTTTGGAGACAAGCAGTTCGCTGCCTGGCTTGCAACTGACAAATCTCTGTCTTCGGGCAGAGGGTGATTCCGTCGGAGCTCTGAGTGCGTATAGATTTCAGGCTAAGAAAAACAGACGAGTAAATACCTAGTCGTTTTGAGTCAGGCGGTACTTGATACCGCTTTAGCTGGGGCTGGGTAAATTTTGACCATTGACCCAAATTGACACTCTCGCCCCCACCCAACAATCCTAAATTTGCTTCATATCTCATCCCAGTGTGAGGACTGCGTAAATACCTAGTCGCTTGCGAATGAGAATCTTTAAGCAGAAAGTGAGTTAATCGGATCTCTGTCTACGGATAGAGTCTCGATTGAATAGAACAGATAATCAAAGTGCCCGTTCAACGCAGTTGCAGGGAATGGGTAAATTTTGGACCAGCGACCCGAGTGTACGCGCTCGGGTACCCTACTTTAAACCTGACCTTGCGTCGCATCCCATCTAAATGGAGAGGCATGGGTAAATATATACCTATCCATTTGGAGTCAGGCAGTTCGCTGTCTGGCTTGCGGCTAACAAGGCCTCTGTTTCCGGGTAGAGGACGACTCAACTGGGGATCTGTATGCGGAAGAGAGATTTGGGTCACTAGAACAGACAAGCAAAATGTTCTTCCTCCGCCTTTGCAGGGAATGGAAAAAATTTTGGACCAGCGGCGCGAGAGTACGCGCTCATGTTCCCAAAGTTTAATCTTGATCTTGTGTCTCACCCCGTCTAAATTGGGAACATGGGTAAATGCCTAGCATTTTGAAGTCAGTCTTCAGACCATCTAATACAGGCGTGACGGGAAATAGCCGAAGTTTTGCATATAGAGAATCCTTATACCAAGTACTTTATATAAGTAAGAATTTGTTATAACACTAACCATAGAATATCGGTGTTTTAATAATCAATTTACTCAAGTTCTCGAATTGGGTTTTGGGTTTTTTTCCTCTGTCCTTCTTGCCCTCAATCTGTCCTGTGTGTATCAAATTTCCCAAGTTCTCTTATTATGTGGCCTAGAAATGTCAACTGTCGCTTCCTGAGCTGACTTGCTACTATATCACGTTGAAACACCGGTTTCCATATGATCATCGAAGTTAAGCAACGTCGAGCCTGGTCAGTACCTAAATAGGTGACTGCTTGGAAATATGAGGTGCTGTAAGCTAGGATTTTCAAGGGCTGTAATGGATAATGGCAAGGAATTTTTAATCGGAGAGCCGAGTTCAAATTCCTGTTGGGTTCGTTATATTCATTTACGCGCCAATAAACTGGGGAGCGTTATAAATTTACCGCTTCTCCACCCAGCCATGGCTTAATTAGTAAGTCGTGTTATTACACCGTTATTATCTCAAAAAAAAAATCTTTCAATCTAAAATTATTTTCGAGCTTTAAATAATATGCAAAGGGTTGATAAGCCGTAAAAATAGATCAATCTCAAGAACGTCTCTCCCTGACGCTAAGTATGTTTCCCTTTTGTTTCTATTTTCTCTAAAGTTTTGCTGTTGCTCACATGTTCGGTTTATGGTATTCTCAGCATCCTTCTGTAGAAGCACATTTCTGATGCTTCACTTCACTTTTTCGTCCGGTTTGGTTTATTTTGTTTTACGGCATATCAACCTCAATGGGTTATTTTATTTTTTTTTTTATTTTAAGATTTTTAGAATAGGTTCATATGAATAGAATATGTAAGAAATCAGTTTGCAGATCAGGTTTCATTAACGTATTTTTGTAAAGAGGGTTTTCAGTCAAATATATTTCTGGTAATATTTTTTTACAAAAATGTTTTGCTGGTAATATTTCTTTTCAAAAATATATTGCTTGTATTTTTACTATAAAAATCTATTTTTATACTTTAATAGTGTTTTGATCCCATTTAGCCATAGCTGGGACCCTAACAGGTGCTACCACCCAGGTTCTGGGTAGACCTAGGAACAACAGCAATTAAAAGGTGGTTACACGTTCGTCAAAACCTCCTAATCAGATGCCTTGCTGCCGGATGTAGTTTATCGTCATACACAGGACGGCTTTTTCGTGCGTAAGTAGACTGTCCAGCAATATAGGAGATGATAGATAGTATTATATTCCAAACTAATAAATAAATTACTTAAATACTGAAAAAAAAATCTGTTCCTGGAATCATAGTTTGTCAAAAAAATGTAGAAAAATATCTAAAATAAAAATAATTCTCTAGTTCTTATCTTTCTGTTAGGATGCGTGCGAACTTTGTTTTTTGTTTTTTTTGTTATATTTTTTGCAGATTTTCGACACCGATCAAAAATGTGCTTTTTTTAATGATATCTTGCAGACGATACGAGTCTTCGTTTCACAAAAAAACAAAAAAAAATTCATTAAATAAAATAACTTAATAAAATCAATGGAAAGGCTACGCGACAAATTTGTTAAAGGGACAACCCGTCCTGATCAAATATCTACGATCTAGAATTGAAATCAGAGTAGTGATGACGCATAATTCATCGTTAGAGTTCAGAATGTAGAATTAATAAATTTTAAAGACTGCAAATACATCGGCGTATGCAGTTGTTATAACAAATAAAGTACAATCATTATATGTAACGGTTTTTTAAATGCATGCAGACAGGTGGAGATATAAGGGTACACGTCAGTTCTTTGGTTTGGTTTGGTTTGGTTTGGTTTGGTTTACGGCATATTAATGAGTTATTAAATGCCGACAAAATCTTTTTTGCTGGTAATATTTTGTTTTGTCAAAAATCTATTTCTGGTAATATTTTTCCATCAAAAGTGTATACCTGGTAATATTGTTTTTCAAAAACGTATTGCTGATAATAGTTTTTTCTTCAAAAATTTATTGCTGGTAATATTTTTTTACAAAGAATTTCTGGTATTAAAACCTATTTTTACACTTCCATAGTGTTTTTACCACAGTTTCGGGGTAATTATTTGCCCATAGCTGGGACCCTAACAAGTGCTACCACCCCGGGTCAGGGTGGACCTGGGAACACCAGCAATTAAGAAGTGGTTCCCACGCTCCTGAAAACCTGCTCAGAAGCCTTGCTGTGGGATGCAGTTTATCGTCTTACCCAGGACGCGGATGCAGTTTATCGTCTTACCCAGGATGCGGATGTAGTTTATCGTCATATCCAAGGACGGACACGTAAGTTATAATTTTGATCTGAGGGATTGAGAAAGGCAAAATTTACAAATTTTTAAATTTCTGGAGTTTTAAAATTTAAGGTTCCTATATTTTCAGTGCTTCGTTTCAGTGTATAATTATGACCGACGTGAACGTTTATATATATATATGTGTGTGTGTGTGTGTTTATACATACACACAAACACACACACAAACATATATATATATATATGTGTGTGTGTGTGTATGTATAACATGATTTCCCGCGAACGTTCATATATCGGAGGACACACACATATATATATATATATATATATATATATATATATATGTGTGTGTGTGTGTGTGTGTGTGTGTGTGTGTGTGTGTGTGTATGTACGATGGATAAATTGTCGAATAAATAACGCAAAAATGAAAATAACACTGACATCTCATTTTAATAGATATATTTACCAAAGTTACACAAAAATATGTTGACATATTAAAGAGTAAATTTAATTTAATAAAATCGTCATTGGCTTCAACCACGGCCTCCAGACGACATTGGAATCTCTTGCATGTCTTTTGAGCGGTCTCCCTGTTTAAGTTAGTGAGTGCTGCCATAATCCTTACGTTCAGTTTATATTTTGTATTACAAGGAATTTTGATGGTCCCTCTCTCTCTCTCTCTCTCTCTCTCTCTCTCTCTCTCTCTCTCTCTCAACTGCACCATGCATAATAATTAAAGGGTTTCATTCTAAGGAGTTAGGTACCCAGATGTAAGGTGTAATGTGCTCGCAGAAATTGTCTGACAGTCATGACTGAGTTCTCTTGCTTGTGTGACATGGTGCAGTGTCCTGTTGTCAGACATAGGGTCTTCCAGCAGCCACTCTCTTGGAAGCACTACCACCTCAAGGCACCTGATCTAGGCCTCCGTATTGAGTCTGAGGCCCTCACCAAAAATTATGGAATTCTCTTTTTTTATCAGAACGATCAGAGGGAGTTTCCCGAGCTACTGTACCTTCGTAATCACCATTAGACTCATCCAATTCTTTCCGAATCCTCTGCACTGTCCTCAGATTGACACCAAAACACTGTTAAATGTTGGTTTTAAAGCTTCCGGTGAGAATACCAAACAGTACAGCATGCTTTTCCCAAATTAATGGCGGAGTGAATTGCGCCATGCTCTTTTTCTCACAGATGCTGCCCAAATGACCCTAATATACTGTGTAATCGACAAAATAAAAACAAGGAAGGCACATATGCGAAATTAAAAATATAAAATGACAGCAATTTACCCATCGCTCACTATATATATATATATATATATATATATATATATATATATATATATATATATATATATATATATATGAAAAATATAGATTTAAAGTATGCTATATTCATGGGCTAAAGAACTCAGTATCAGGGATAGAGCCTATGCTTATATAGAAGTGGACACAAGATCAACAACGAGCGGTGTATTTCCTGCTTGAAATTTCATGCTGAAATCTTTCAGGCCTGAAGCATAATACAGATTGTCACCGCTGGACGTTGACTTCAATGTGTGCTATATATATATATATATATATATATATATATATATATATATATATATATATATATATATATATATATATACACTCCTGAACAAAAATTTAAGACCACTTGAAATTTTTTTAAAAGACAGTTTTCATGGAAAAATTTTAAACATTTCTTACTTAAGGTTACTAATTTTATAATCTAAAAGGTTATGTAGACAAAAATTTATAATCCGAAAATTTTATTGAGAAATTGACATTTTTATAAAATGAGGCGTTTTACACTTGATCAAAATTGTAAGACCAAATAAAAAAAATTCTACGAAATTGTACGAAAGGTGTACGAAAACATTCAACAACCAAATTTAATAATGAGTTCTACCTCCACTGGTTTTGATGACTTCAAAAATTCTTTGGGACATGCTAGAAATTAGTGTTTCTATTAAGATGCGAGGAATATTGCTCCAGTTTCTGAAGATAGCTTCACAAAGTTCATTTTTTGTTGAATATTGTTTGCCATTTCGATAAACATCTCTTGCCATCCATCCCCAAACATTTTTAATTTGGTTCAAGTCCGGTGAGCATGCAAGATGTCTCAAGAGATGGACCCCATTTTCTTGTAGAAAGGTCAAGGTCCGGCATGCAGCGTGGATTGCAGCATTATCCTGTTGGAATAACCATCCATCCCCACACAAACGATAACCCTTCGTCACTAACGATGCTTTTTGTAGCATGCTAATATAACCAGACGCTGTCTGACGACCCTGCACCACCTGGAGCTACATCGTCCCTCTGTAAAAAAGGCACCCCATACCATTAGGGACCCTCCGCCACTATGACGTGTGGAGAAAATTTCAGGAGGCATGTTTTTGTTATATCGTTGGAAGCCATCAGGTCCAACTAGATTGAATTTTTTTTTCTCATCTTCCACTTCTTGATGTCCCATGTTTGGTATTCACAACCAAACCTTAAACGGTTCAGTTTGTGACGTGGAAGCAGCCGAGGAATTTGTTAGCGCTTTTTATTTACCATGACTTTTTGTCTTAAGTGTCGTCTGATGGTTACTGGACGGCAATCAGCATCTCTGGCTGCCTTAATTTGACTAGAAGAAAGTCCACTGGCTTTCACAACAACTTGTCTTATTCTCAATGCCGGAAAAAAATTGGCGGGGGGGGGGCTACCAGTAGACTTTGTGTTTCCATAATTTGCACTGTCCTTTAGAAAGTTGCAAATCACAATTTTACTGCGATTTACTTTAGCTGCGATCGCCCGCTGTGACAAAACTTGATTATGGAAATCTAGAATTCTTCGTCACTTTCCTACCGCCGTAATATAGATTCCACGTGTCTTTTTTTATAAATGCCTTCATGGTAATTGTTCTAATGAACTTTGGTCTATGGTACCTAGAAACGTAAGCGTAGTACTAGATTGGCGGCAAGGTCTCATCATTTTACAGTTGAATTGGCAAGATATTACAGCAAGTTCTTTGCTAACAGTTTCTTCACTCACGCTTCTCACCTATGGAACACTCT